GTCACGCAGAACAGCCTCCTGCTGGACCTCTTCGGTGGTCGACCTTGACTGAGCGTCCGAGACTACCTTGTTAGAAAAGTCCAACGATTCCCTTATTATTTCCTTATTACTAAATTTCTGTGGGACAGCTTGGACATTTTCCCCTTGCAATAGAACTGTATTATCTTTATCTTCATGTAAAGAAGACCGCGCACAGAAATACGGTGGGGCAGAAGAATGTACAAAATCTTGGGCCCTTGAATTTACAATATTTACATGCACCCCGTTTATAATTGAGCTGGATTTCAACGGATAAATTGGGACTTTTTTATTGTTAACTAATAAATAATTTTCAGTAAAAACTGGAATGGCCCCCGTTAATTTGAAAAAATCAACTCCTAAAATTGCGTCTACACCTGTGGCTAATTCATCTGTTACTAAAATAAAATCTTTTTGAAATTCAACTCCTTCACAACTGAACTCTAAATTTGCTACTCCTTCTGATTTTAATTGATTACCCGTAACACCAATTAATTTTAAATCAAACTGTTTTGGTACAATTTTAGACATACATAATGATTTCTTAACAATTAATGAAGCACTTGCTCCACAATCTAATAACATTTTTATAAATTTATTTTTTGCTAATGGCATATGCACCTTTAAAATATACAAATCTGAAATAATTTTGCCATTATCAAAAAGTGAATTTAAATGAGAAATATTTATTTTAAAAGGTCTGTTTAATTTTGCAAACATGTCAATTAAATCTCTAGCCGAAGCTTTAATGAATTTATCAATAATTAAATCTTGTTGCTCTTTATTTAAACAAGGAGTATCATCGGGAATAAAAAAATTGTCATCAAAAATTTCGCCCTGCTGCTCTTCAAAAAATTGAATTTGTTCTGCTTCTGTCGAATCGGGCCAATTGACAGAAGCCATTAATTTTTTGACATCTGTGCTTTATTCAAAGCGTCTTGCTGAAAGATTTTACAATGACGCATAATATGATCCTGACCTCCACAATAAAAGCACGCGTTTTGTGGAGCCTTTTGTTGTTGCGCGTTGCCTGAATTTGATTGTGTAGAAGGTATTTGACCTGGAAAAGGCCCAGTATTGTTTGGTGGGTATAAGGAATGAGGCGTGAATTGTTGCCGTGTATTGTTAACGCGTCCGCGACCTCTGTTATTTTTTCCTCTCCGAGGGAAACCTTGCCCGCGATAATTGTGTGAAAAATTTGTTTGGCCGTACATATTTGGCTGTTGAGGGAAAAAATTGGGTGCATTATGTGCAAGCATTTGACCCTGCGCATTATATGGTCCCGAAGGGAAAGCGGGTTGTTGGAAATTTTGTTGTTGAAAGGCGGGAGGGTTCTGAGCTTGCCGATAAAAAACGGCAGAATTTTGCTGCTCATGAATAGGCACGAAGGAATTTTGTGCGTGCATGTTCGGATAAAAAGTTTGTTGCTGCGAAGGCAAAAAAGAATTGTTTTGTGCGTTTGCCCCAGAAAATCTATTTTGTTGCGCATTATAAAAAGATTCCATCTTTGGTTGGCCCTGAGAAAAATTTCCGTTAGGTATCTGCTGAGTTTCTAATTTTTTATCAAAATCCGGCAAATTATTTTCCAGCGATAATTTAGAAAAATCCAATTTCGGCCCTTTAGTAGGAAATTTATTATCAATTGATTTGTGTGCTTCCTTAATATAATGCAAAGCGTTAATTACAACGCTATTTTTAGAACACATTTTATTGTGTCTGTCGTCGCTAGAAATTTCGATTGCTGCGTTATAAACATCTTCAAATGAGTCACAGTGTCTTTCAATTACTCTGCGACGTATATCATCATCCCTTAAACCTTGAATAAATTGAGACAACAAAGCTGAATCTAAAATTTTCATATATAGAGTGAGAGATCCATCAGCATCTGCCACTGGCGGATTAGCATTCATATAAATTGATCGGATACGAGTAGCGAAATCAATAATTGGTTCATCTTCTTTTTGCTGTGCTAAGGAGAATTATGCCATTTTTTCGGCGGGGCTTTCATAAGGTAAAAAAAGTGCAATTATATTCTTTGCGAATTCACTCCATTTTTTCTTTTCTATTAAACCAGCTCTAGTCGCAACAGTTCGTGCGCGTCCTGTTAGTTTTGTCATAGCCACATGAATTTTTAAATCATCGTCCCAACCTAGCGTATCTCCAGTTCTCTCAATTATAGAAACGTATTCTGTTATTAGCGGCGTGGCATTTTTCTCTCCAGAAAAACTAGGAATTAAATGGATTAATTCCGCTCCAACTGATTTAGCTTTCGCCATTTTGGAAAAATACAGTTCTGTGAGGCTTTAATTTAAACTAAAATTATGCCGAAAATCTTAGATCCCTAAAACTTGGTTTATTCTTTTCTTAATTTGTGTGGAACTTTTTGTTTGCTTATAATTTTCTTTTTAATTATGTAAATAAATTGATAAAAATGGAAAAACCTTTAATTTTTAATGATGAAAATACTTTATTATATGAATAATTTCCTATTATGGAAAAAAATTAAAGAAAAAGAAAAATTTACTAAAAACAAAAAGAGTGGAAAAATAATCCAATAAAAAGAAAAAAGATAAAATTTTCTGAAATTTTTTAATATTATGAGATGCAATTATTAATATTAATTATCTTGGCGCGTGAGAAAAACGAATGACACCATGTGAAAGCGGGGGGGTTTATTCTTTATATTAATTAAAATTATTTTAATTATTTTGAATTGGGGTTGTTATTTTATTCTGGGTTTGTTAGAGCGTAAATTTGAATTTAAAAATATGTCAGGATAGGAATTCTCAATTTAAGCAAACCCCGAAAACCAAACCGCTTTGCGCGCGAATCTATAAAGACTTATAGGAGCGATTATTTATTTTCACGGACTTCTATTTTCTATATAACTCAGCTGAGCAGGTAAAAGGGAAAGTGAATGGACAACCTTTTTCATTCATTCGGTGGTCCGTCCGAAAGAGTGAGGGGAGTAAAATGCGCCTGTATATCTTTACGACTCCCGAGAGTACGCACCCTGGCAGGTGCCTCTATTATATGATAGAATATTTATAAATAAATATTTCGGCGCTTTGTATCAATAAAGGTACCCTAGTACAGAATGCGCACCTACTCCAATAAGTACTTCATAGAAACACACTTTCAGGCCTGGCCATAATGAGCGAATTTATTTATATTTACCTTTTATTTTATATTAATCTTAATTCTCTTATTGGATTGATTTATTAATTAAAATCTATTTTCTTCTATTTGAATAGTCTACTATTATTATTTAAAATTATGTCTAGGTTAGATTTGTTTTCATTTAAACAAAATATTTTAAGTTTTTGAGAACGAAGAAAAGTGTAATTATTTTTATTTTATGTAATCAAAAATTAAACGATACACCAAAATTTAAATATTATAATTTTGTTCCACTGAGTTTTATAATTTTCGTAAATTAAAAATAATCAATTCTGTATTTAATGAAACAGAACTAAACCAAGGTTCCTTAAAATCGTAATACAACCGAGAGAGAGATTTTTGTCCTTAAAACGTAACTTAAAATCGTAAAGGCTTGCGGACTGCTTTGGAGCGACAGTCTTTCTTTTCAATTAACTTTAACTGAAACTTAAACTCTAAGAGAATGAACTTTTTCCTTTCCAAATTAAAATCAAATAAAAACAAGCCGTCGGTACAACAGTAAATGGGCACAAATTAGCGTAAAATAACTCTAACCTTAGCTCCTGGCTCAGAGCGCGGCGTGGATGAGTGCCTTTCGGGTTGGAGTATTTTCTCGTCAAAAGATCAGCCACAACTTTTGATTCAGCTAATTTGAGTCAAATGGTCCTGCACTCTCGACCTGCGGAAGGTGAAGTCTCACCTGTCGTTTTACTTTTTGGCTCAGATCGGTTTGACGAGAAAATAAACTCCTCCTTATCTAACTAAATAGACCAATGAGCGCCTTAAAAATATCCTTATATTTTTTAACATAAAGAAATTTGTCCCGCGTCGCCCGCGTCGCCCGCGCGACAACAAAAAACAACATATAACAAAGGACACGGCGCGGCTCGAACGGAGAGCCCGCGCGCAGCTTTTTTTCTCTCGGCGCATAAAATGCTATGCTACTGCTAAACTCTCTCTCTCTTCATATGCGTGAAATACATTGATAAAAATACATTAAGTAATTTAAAACTACAAAAATAAAAAATTAAAGAAAATCAAATTAAATATAACCCCATATAATTCACAAAATATCAAATATTTTTACTTCAAGAAAAATCCGATCGTCATCTGAGATTGCTTTTTGATTTTCTGAAGACTCTGATTTTTCTCTTGCGCTTTTTGATTTTGTATTTTCGTGCTTATATTTGAGCAAAATGCCACCAAGTTTGCGTCTAATTACATCGGTCCTAATCTTATTCACGTGTCGTTTCCAATCGCTACCTGAACGTGAACATTTTTGTCTCGCCGTGTTAATCAAATGAACTCGAGCAAAGCAATGAGACTTTCGTCCTCTGCGACGGCAACTCTCATTTTTGCAATCTACATTTGAAACGCCTTGCGTGCCGCAGCCGATGCAAAACGTATTGCACACTCGCACAGTGCATTGACGATAATGATGTCCGACACGACGGCAATTCCAACAAGTACGCGCTAAAATAGCTGGGTCAATTTTCGCACTTCCGCAATTCTCACATTGATCAGGGGAATGATGAGAATTTTTGGCGTCTGGAAAATCGCTAGCGACAGTGTGTGCATCCAAGTGCGGATCACAAATAAGCGTCGGCGAAGGGCCGTGCGGCTCATTTGGCTCACGCGCTGGTGCGCTCCTCTCGCTACCATTTTCAATCAAATCCAAAATTTCTGACTGATTATCATTTTTATAAACTAGACCTGGCTCAACGGGATCGTCTGGAGGGACGGGATGCGATATTCCGAACCCCACATCAATTGGGCGCATTGTGTGGAATTCGCGCTCAAATTCAAAATTCCCAGAGTTTGATCATTAAAAAATCAGTCAAGAAAGCGATAGAATTGAAAAAAAATATTTAATTGACACTGAATGAAAATAATATGTCTTTGAAAATTAATTTGAACATTTTAGAACAACAAATCTTCATATAAAGCGTTCTAGTTGGAAAGTTTACAGATATTTTATCGTTGACCACACAATACAGCTGGAGCACGCACAACAGCTGGGTGCTGGGTAAACAAATACACGGACGAAACGCTGTGCAAAATATTGTTTCGATTTAGATCAACTTAACACTATAATTGAATTTTCTCACAAAACCTATAATGATATTTTTTGAGGTATGTATAATTATTCATATTATTAATTATTTTTTTTTTTAAATATCTTTAATTTTTTTAATTAATTTGTTGTTAAATGATAATTTTTTTAAATAACTAAAATTACTGCTGATACTTTTCACTATTTTACTACATAAATAAACAAAAATGAAAAGGTTTTTTGAAAAACAGTTTTAATTTATTCAAAAGCTATTTATTAAACTAGTGTGATTTGGCGTTTGCTACATTTTCTCGAACAGCTTGACTTAAATTTCTTTGTCTCTTAGGCTGACTGACTAAAGATGGAGTCACCTTTCTTTTGCCTTGGTTTGTTGTGGATTTCTGCACCTCTGGTGTATTGTGTTGCTTGATTTTTGGTGGACGGCCTTGTGGAACTTGAGCAGCACCTTTCGAAACACCCTTTCGTCTTCTTGCTCGCCCACTTGACTGAATGGGAATTCGTCCACTTCGTGAGCAGACAGAACCAATCTGCCGATAGATGGCAACAATGGAAGCTGTGGCAGCAGGTGCACTCTTCGGTTTGTTCAAAGCCTTACTTAACTTTCTTAGCAATTCGTTTGATGCATCAGTTTTGGCCAACTCGATCAAGCTGGCAAATGCATCTTTGCACTCATTCACCAAATCTTCTTTCTCAGCCTCATCAAAAGGATCAAGGTCTTGTTCTTCACTATGAATTTCGCATGCGTGAAGCTCTTCGTCAAATTCCACTTGTGCATCCGACACAAAATGAGCAACTATTGTTAAAGAAATTATATATTTTAAAATATTTTATTGTTTTTACATTAACCAACCATCTAAATTTGGCTCCTTTTCAGTTGGATCAACTTCTGTTCGGCCTAAAAAGAATTTCAAGTCAGGGCATTTGCTGCCGAGGGCCAAGCGAGCAAGTTCGAGTCGATCGCCACTAAGAAGTGGAGGAGCCGAGGGCATGGAGATGTTGAAGTATTTAACAAGCAGAGATTGGTGTTTGCAGAATGCACCACCCTCACCAACTGGACAGGAGCACACACCAATCTTTGAATGGACTTCATAAAAGGTGCCTGAATATGTTTAAATTATTAAAAATTTAATTATGTAATAGTTACCAAATTCATAAATGGTTTCTTATGTAGACAAATTTTGACATTGATTTTTTTTCAATTGGAATTTTTTAGGTCCCCAACACTTGTTTTAAATTAAATTCATAATTTATTAATAATATTAATATTTACCATTTCTGTTAGCACTTGGGACAGAAAAAACAAACTCCTCAATTTGTTTGATTGATTCAGGTTTGATCTTTTCCATCCTGCTTAGTAACTTGTGGAAGACAATGGAGTGGGCTGAGTGTCGATTATGTGCATGGTCAAGGAGCCGCCGCTTGTAGTAAGACTCCATGGGCCCAATTACAAATTCTACCAAGGCCACAGGATTGAATGCCTGCAATAAAATTATATTTCTATCTCATTCTTGTTATTAAAACTGCTAAATCAACAACCTTCATTCTATCAAGTACAGCCTCTTTAACAATTTTGATGCTGGACTCTGCATAGTTGTTGGTGTGGTTGTTTCTTAATAGAAGATCACTCCTTTTGTAAATAGCCCATTCATTTTTTCTTTTTAGGTAGGTAGTTCAAACCGAGCAACGAATTTTTTTTCTGACTTCAAACTTTGGATCTCATCCACTCCTTTGTCAAATTCCTCTTGATTTGCAGCATAAACGACCTGAATTTAAGTTGCTATTAAATTAAATTTTAAAATTATAGAAAAGTAAATTAAATTATACTTTGTAAAATAGGCCCATCAGTTTTTTCCTCACATCCTTGGTAGAATTAGATAGGAGCCATTTCCATTCCTTTGATAATACATGGAAAGTGCACAATAGCTGGCGAGATGATGGCCACACAGCAGCAAGAGGTCCTCTCTCAGCAGAACTGTCATCAGTCATTGTAGTGAGGGGCTCCTTATAAAATTTTTATTGGGTTAATTTAAATATTATTTCTTTGATATTACACAATATTCTCAAACTGTATTCTTATTTAAAGTTTAAAAAATTTTAAATTTTTTACCGTATTTCCTCCAAATGCCTTTGGGCAATGATCTTTTACCAGGGAAAAGGCTAATTTATAGCAATCCTCTGATTGGCCATTGTGAAGCAGCAGGCACAATGGAAGAGCCCCTGCTTTTGAGGGAACAGTCATTGAGGTTAAAGTGCAGTGGGTCACATCAACACTTGATGTTGAATCTACGAATAGACTCTCTTTTGCAGATTCTAAGTGTTGCACCCTTTTCATGATTGGAGTCACGACCAAAACAGCCCAATTTTCATCCTTCACCGTCACATAAACTTGGGTGTCTAAGTAATTTTTTTTTTTTTAATTAAAATACAAAATATGTGATTAAATTTTTTGTTGCTATTTTAATTTATCATATGTACCTCTTTCTAAATAGTAGTTATTTTCGTTCTTTTCAATGATTTTCATTAAAGGTGAATCACTTTGACCTCCAAAGTTTTTTTTACTCCACTTCTCATGCATATGATGCACACACCGCCGTGTTGGATTGTGTGCATTATCAGCCAAATCAACCATTGCGTCAGCGGACACGAGGAGATCTTCGTGCAAGCGCCTTGCTTGCGCTGGGGTATTACCATCATCAAAATATGACATAAAAGTATCTTCGAGACTTTTGGGAACTCGGTTCAGTCGAAGCGTATCAGCACTTCTAAGGTGGTGATTGTGCACCCCTGTGATGGTGATCACTGCAGGTCTACTAATTCCATTTTTATCAGGCCTAATGTATTTGTCTTTGTTTCTTGTATTTCTAGTATTCTGCAAAATATAAAATTTATTTATTTATTTTATTTTAAATAAATTGGAAAATATTTATTGTTACAAATTAATTAATTAATTTATAAAAAACAATCAACAATGATATAATAACGAAAAAAACTATATAACAATTAATTCAACAATTCAAAAGTATTAATAAATATATAAATACCAGCTTAATTTTGATATCAAGCTTAGCCTTGCAGTCAGTGCTCCTTGTAGAATTTTCAGTCTTGTTTAACTTGCTGAAGTGACAATACCATTTTTTGTGAACAACAAACCTATAAAATTTATAAATATACTTATAATTTACATATTTATCCAGGCAAAATTATGTTATCTCACCTCTCGAGATTATCCCTTTCGTAAAGGACTGTCCACTGAGATCTACTAATAGCACAAAAATCTTCTTTCCATTGATTGGCATCAGATTCATTTTGCAACATAGCCCTCAAAACAATCTTTTCTGTTGAGCTCTCCACACAGATTGTATTGAAGGACGTGGGAAAAATATTTTTAGTGGGACTTGCTACTGCCATTATTTAATAAGAATTTTTTTCTTTTCATTCGTCAGAACAAAAGGCCAAAAGTAAACAAAAGGATTGATAATATTTGGTGCAATTGCAGTATGATCAAGTGCACGTGTATTGTGGAGTCAACAATAAAATATCTGTAAACTTTCCAACTAGAACGCTTTATATAAAGATTTGTTGTTCTAAAATGTTCAAATTAATTTTCAAAGACATATTATTTTCATTCAGTGTCAATTAAATATTTTTTTTCAATTCTATCGCTTTCTTGACTGATTTTTTAATGATCAAACTCTGGGAATTTTGAATTTGAGCGCCAATTCCACACAATGCGCCCAATTGATGTGGGGTTCGGAATATCGCGTCCCGGCGTAATTGGGAGCGAAGTGCACGTCGTCCATTGCGTGACTTCTCGCTGCTCATCGGAGTCCGTCACCCTGACTCCCGAGGTCATTCTGCTGCACCCTGTGCAACCCCAGCCTGACTGCAAGCCAGCGCAGTTCAGCTCTCTGCAAGATTTCTGCTCGTCTCTTCACATCATTAAAGCAAGTACAAAACCCCGAACCGAGTGCAAGAAATCGAACTTGTAATATTCGAGTGATTTTCTCCGAGTGCATTCAACCATTATTTTCAAATAATATGTAAAATCAATTATTTTCCTACCCATCCTAATTCCTACCTACACAAACAATACAAATTTATAATATTCATGATTTGAATTAATTTACCGATTTTCCATTATTCTCTAATTAAATAATTTTGAATTGAATTTTCATCAAATAAAATCTTTCTTTAATTCTTTTCAAACTGCCGATTTTGATTTGTTTTCCATCTTGGAAAAATCTGAAATTAGTTTTTGAAGTTGTCTGAGTTAATTAAGTTGAGGAAATTAAGCCGAACCTGCGATTAATAGGATTTGATCTAACCCTGACATAGAGTCTAACAAGTCGTTGTTATATGGCGCCCAACTCACTTAATCCCAATTTAATTTGACAAATTAAAGTAAAATTTGTGATCCAGCGAGATCTAGAATATTCTATTCTGTGCTTTGTCTCCGAAAGTTTAGAATTCCAGGGTAATTTACCAAATTCTAGTAGTGCATTTTTGAGTCGGAATTCGCGAGCGTAATTTTTAGCATTCCGCGTGAGCAATTTTGTAGAGTAATTTTTGTCAGAAATTCTTGACATCTGTCAGAAAAACAAGGTTGGCCTCTCGTAAATAGTTTACATTTTGATCGTGTGTAAAAATTCTTTTGTAGAGTAAGACACACTTATGTTGTTTGTTTCCGAGTAAACACGATTTTAGAGTCAGAGATTTAAAGATGGATTTGAACATTAATTCTCATGACATGGTTTTGGTGCCCATGCAATTTGATGTTGCGTCTGGTACCGCGATACCAAGTAGATTACCCCCGATTTGTGTCAATTCACGCGTCATGGCTAAGACAATTCCCGTTTCGGAGTGGAATTTGAAGTATGACGGCGATGAACAAAAACTTTCACTTTCTCTTTTCTTGCGAGAAGTAGGGTTAAATTTTGATTCAAGTAACCTGAGTGAAATTGATTTTTGGAACTCAGCAGTTAACCTTTTTGATGGCCCAATTAGAACATGGTTCTTGGCAAACCGACATAAATGGTCAAAATGGTCCGAGTTAGTCCCAGATCTGAAACTAAATTTCCGCCCGGCAAATTATGAGAGCAAATTGTGGGAGCAGTTGCGATCACGTTCTCAGGGTCCCAAAGAGCGAGTGAATATTTATATTGCCAACATGCAATTTATGTTCAGTTTGCTCGATGTGCAGCCCAGTGAGCGAGACAAATTTCTGTTTCTCAGAGCTCGTTTGCACCCAATTTGGCTGTCAAATTTACCGTGGTCAAGTATCGATTCAATCGAGTCGCTGATTAACGAGTCGCTAAAATTAGAGAGCATATTTGATTTGATTCATAGCTATCGCGATCCCGTCCCTCCAGACGATCCCGTTGAGCCAGGTCTAGTTTATAAAAATGATAATCAGTCAGAAATTTTGGATTTGATTGAAAATGGTAGCGAGAGGAGCGCACCAGCGCGTGAGCCAAATGAGCCGCACGGCCCTTCGCCGACGCTTATTTGTGATCCGCACTTGGATGCACACACTGTCGCTAGCGATTTTCCAGACGCCAAAAATTCTCATCATTCCCCTGATCAATGCGAGAATTGCGGAAGTGCGAAAATTGACCCAGCTATTTTAGCGCGTACTTGTTGGAATTGCCGTCGTGTCGGACATCATTATCGGCAATGCACTGTGCGAGTGTGCAATACGTTTTGCATCGGCTGCGGCACGCAAGGCGTATCAAATGTAGATTGTAAAAATGAGAGTTGCCGTCGCAGAGGACGAAAGTCTCATTGCTTTGCTCGCGTTCATTTGATTAACACGGCGAGACAAAAATGTTCACGTTCAGGTAGCGATTGGAAACGACACGTGAATAAGATTAGGACCGATGTAATTAGACGCAAACTTGGTGGCATTTTGCTCAAATATAAGCACGAAAATACAAAATCAAAAAGCGCAAGAGAAAAATCAGAGTCTTCAGAAAATCAAAAAGCAATCTCAGATGACGATCGGATTTTTCTAGAAGTCAAAATATTTGATATTTCTTCTGTTGCACTTTTGGATTCAGGTGCATCTGCTTGTATTTTAGGTGGTCCAGGCAAGCGTTTAATTGACAAATTGAGATTAAAATTGCAAAAATCGAATATTGCCAATGTTGAATTAGCAGATAATTCCAAAAAACCAGTAATTGGAGAAATTGATTTGCCAATTTGTATTGAAGGACAAACTTTTGTAGTAAATTGTTTAGTAGTGCCCGCGGTAGAGCAGAGTTTGATTCTTGGATTAAATTTTTGGTTAAAAACCGGATTTGTTCCCGATGTTTCACGGGGTGAATGGTTCTTTTCCTCTGATGTGGCGCATGAGATTCCGAAAATTTATTCTCTAACGGTGGATGGTGACAAACTTAGCGCGGAGGAGAAAGAAATTCTCGCGAAAACGATCGCCGAGGTTAAGAGCAATTTTCCCAAAGGCTTAGGTCGCACAAATGTAATGGAGCATAAAATTGATACTGGCGATGCAAAACCAGTGAAAACCAAACAGTTTTATATTCAACCTGCTCAATTAAAAATAATGCACGCAGAGCTCGACAAAATGTTAGAGTTAGATGTAATTGAACCGTGCATAAGTCCTTGGTCGAGTCCAGTATTTCTCGTTAATGGCGAAAGTAAAGGTAAAGAGCCGCGATTTGTTGTGGACATGCGTGAAGTAAATAAAGTAACAGTGAGTGACGCGTATGCAGTCCCAATTTTGACAAGCATTTTGGATGGATTAGGTGATGTAAAATTTTTGAGTTCAATTGATTTGAAAAAATCGTATTGGCAAATTCCATTAGATTCTGAGAGTAAATTAAAAACAGCATTTTTCATACCTGAAAGAGGTCAGTTTTGTTTCAAAGTAATCCCTTTTGGAGCTAAAAATTCAGGTCCAGGTTTCATGCGAGTAATAGATTTTGTTGTTGCGAAATCTTGGATTAGAAAGTACATAAGGATTTATATTGATGATTGTTTTGTTGCAACCCCTACTTTCAAATTACACATTAAGGTATTAATTGAATTATTTCGTTTACTCAAAGAAGCCAATTTAACTCCAAATTGGGAGAAATGTAGATTTCTTAGAAAATCAATTAAAATTTTAGGCTACGTGCTTGATGAATTTGGTTTGCACACCGATCCAGACAAAACCGCTTCAATTTTGAATCTTCCTCGTCCCAAAAATTGTACGGAAATCAAAAGATTTTACGGCGCACTTTCGTATTACCGCAGATTGATCCCAAATTTCAGTGTTTTAGCTGAACCCCTCTTGCGACTTCTCAAAAAGAAAATTCCCTTTGCGTGGAATGAAGAGCAAGACGATGCGTTCGTCAAGCTGAAACAGGCCGCTGTTTCAGACACAGTCGTGAAACTGCCAGATTTCAACCGTCCATTTTATTTGCACACTGATGCATCTGATGTTTGAATTTCAGGAGTTTTGACTCAAGTTTTCGATGACGGTGAACACCCAATTTTTTACGTCAGTCGTTTATTAAATGATTCCGAGAGAAATTATATAACAATCCAAAAGGAAGCCCTTGCGATAGTTTGGTCCATTGAGCGATTAGCAGGATATTTAAGTTATAACAAATTTTTTGTTGTTACTGATAATAAGCCTCTAAAATATTTGCAAGACCATAAAAATCCCAAAGGCAGACTTGCGAATTGGAAGTATAAATTACAGGAATTTGATTTTGAAATAATTCACCGCCCTGGCAGATTAAATGTTGTTCCCGATATTTTATCTCGTTCTTTCAATTGTAGTATTAAAGTTTCAGCAATAACTTTGAATACCCCAATTCGTGACACATGGTATTTGAGCATGATAACGCGCGTGAAGGAAAATCCAGCACAATTTCCACTTTTCAAAGTAGTTGATAATAAATTGTATAAATTGAGTAAAAGTTGGAATCCCTTAGATGAAGCCGAATTTAAATTAGTTGTCCCTAAGTGCTCGAGATTTAAAGTTTTTGAAGCAATGCACAATGCCCCTCAATCAGGACATTTTGGATTTTACAAAACTTTCAATCGAATTTCAGAACAATTTTATTGGCCCAGAATGCGCGCAGATATCAGTAAATTTTTTTCCCATTGTAAAACGTGTCTAGCACAAAAACCAGTTCAAGCAGCTCCTGCTGGATTAATGAATTCACATCCCGTAAATTCACCTTGGCAAGTTGTGTGCTCAGATATTGTGGGCGAATTTCCGCGTAGCAAAAATGGTCACAAATATGTTCTTTGTTTAGTAGATTTGTTTACAAAATTTTCAATTTTGATTCCCCTGAAAGACGCAAAAGCAAATGCAATTTGTAATTCAATTGAGAAAGTAATTTTTTCGTACGGAGCACCACAATTAATGATTCAGGATAATGCTAAAAATTATTGTAGCAATCAATTTAAAGATTTAGCCAGAAAGTATGATTTTAAACTTCAATTCACACCTCGTTTTCACGCACAAGCAAATCCAACCGAACGAGTAAAT